GCTTTTAGACACATGTAGAACATGCCGCGTGGTGGCACCACAGCAATGCAAACGTCTCGATACCCAGCCCAGGGGCAGCATCAGCATCGTCATCAGCGCCGATGGGCACGGTAGCGGATCGGACGCAGGAGCGGGGACGGGTTGACGCCATTGACCTGCATTCCCGGTCCTTGGCGGGGGCCCGATGGATGGTCGACCTGTGACGTCAGTGCCCGGACAGCATGTTAAATATGGCGTTTGGCTTGCACACGTCTCACAACTCAGCATCACACACATCTCTCTCCCAAACTCTCAACAACTCTACGCAATCCACGAACCCTTCCAATTCCAACAACCAACACACCTCCAACAACCATCATGTCTTCCAACGTCGGCTCCCACAACATCTACGAGGATGGCGACCAGCGCAACTACAAGCAGAGCGAGATCAACGAGATGAACGAAGCCCAGAGGTTCAAGGAGGGTCAGGCCAACAGCCACCTGTCTCTCGACTCCAGTAAGTCACCATGAAGCTTCCCGCGGTTGGACACCATCCTAACAGTTATCTTGCAGAGGACGAGCGCTCAATTGCCAACAAGCTCGCCCGCGAGGAGCACCGTCAGAAGGAGTCGGAGCCTAAGGACTTCGAGAAGGTTCAGCTTGAGCACGACGCCAGACTACCGGTACGTAGAGACTGCGCCTCACCACCAGATCACAAAGCTTATACTAACTTTTGCGTAGGCTGCGTCCCACGGCAACAAACCGAGCAAGGGTGCAAAGATCGACCAGGAGCTCCGTGAGGAGGACGAGGCTGCCGCTTCGCACAAGGGCTCCTGGGGCTCGAAGAAGCAATAAGCCAGATATCCTCTACATGATGTAACAAAAAGGCGTCTGGGATGGTTAGAGGCATTGGGAGTTGCAAAATGCTGGATACCTGAGATCTAATGACATGATGATATTTCCACGTCAAAATCGACGTCCCGATACGCTGTGCATGTAATGTGCTGGAAAATGATGACACAACCTGGTTGAGAATTGGAGACAGGAGTTTATGCCCCACCAACGTGCCCCGCCCTTGGATGGGAGGAACATCGAGCCATGACATAATGTTGATGATCGATGTGCTAGTCCGGATTTGGACATTGAATTGATGTCTTGGCATCCACGCGCCCAACGCGTCGGATACGCGTGTCGCGTCCCTCAGCCGAATTTTAGCGCCAAACTCACCTCTGTCAACTTGCCCTGCGCTTTCTCTAAACACCTCCACCACCATCACCCATTCGACCCTACCGAACGTCGCCCATCATGTCTTCCTTGGTCGACGCTGTAATCAACTCCGAAATTGATCTCAATGCGCCAACCCCCACTCCAAGCGAGGGAGCTCCCGGCGCACGGCAACCCAATGGCCGTTCCTCTTCGCGTCCCAGAGGGCCTCCTTCGGACAGCGCAGGACCCAATAGCGAAGCCAACATTCGCGATGACGATATTGCAGCCTCTCGGACTACTGTGAGAAGAGCAGCTGGCCCACGACAGGACATTCCTAAGGTGGTGGACGTAACGGGTGAGACTTTGAGCCAGAGATTCGAGGAGTTTTTGGAATCGTGAGTTTTGCCCTGGACAAGAGAAGCACAACCTGCTGACCCCAATCAGGTACAGGGTAGAACCACAGCCAGTCTCTTCGGGAGTCCCGGCATCCAGCGTACAGACCACCGACAGGTATTACGTTTCCCAAGTCCACGGGCTCCGATCCTACAACCTATCGACTCTCTATGTCGACTTCAACCACCTCATGCAACATGAAGAAGGCGTCCTTGGAGCGGCAATTGCGGACGAGTACTATCGTTTCTTGCCGTACATGACGCGGGCCATGCACAATCTCATCGCAAAGCATGAGCCGCAGTACTTCAGGGACCATCGGCAACCAAACTATTCGGCCTCTAGCGTCGCCGCAACGAATCCAAACTCTACTGGCGAGACAATCGACTCGTTGGGCGACACGTTCGAATCAAAGACCCCCCACCAGCAGACGGACAAACTGTTTACCCTGGCTTTTTACAACCTCCCGCTTGTATCAAGAATTAGGCAGTTGCGGACGTCTTCGATTGGAAGGCTTCTGTCGATATCTGGAACAGTAACAAGGACTTCAGAAGTCCGACCAGAGCTCTCCCTTGCAACATTCGTTTGCGAAATCTGCAACACGATTATTCCCAACATCGAGCAAACGTTCCGATATACGGAACCGACACAGTGCCCAAATTTGACGTGTGGCAACCGGACAGCTTGGCGTCTGGACATTCGGCAAAGCACTTTTGTCGACTGGCAAAAGGTGCGCATCCAGGAAAACAGCTCGGAAATTCCCACAGGAAGCATGCCACGAACTCTCGATGTTATCTTGCGCGGCGAGATTGTGGATCGTGCCAAAGCTGGTGAAAAGTGCATCTTTACCGGCACGCCTATCGTCATCCCAGATGTCAGCCAGTTCAGAGTCCCCGGAATCCGACCTCAAGCGACGAAAGACTTGAATGGTCAACGTGGCACAGATGTCGGCGGGAATGGAGTTTCTGGTCTCAAGGCTCTCGGAGTGAGGGATCTGACCTACAGATTGGCCTTCATGGCCTGCATGGTGACACCGGATACTTCGACCCCCGGTCAAGCTTCCACACAAGAGTTACATGGCCAAGCAGGCAATATTCTTCAGTCGCTCAACCAAATTGGGCCTACCGACAATTATTTGCGTCTTTCCTCCGAACAGGCGCAGTCCGAGCTTTTGGCTACCATGACACCAGCCGAAATCGAAGACCTCAAGAGCATGGTGCACGGCGACAACATGTTCATGCGGCTTGTCGACTCTATTGCACCCATGGTGTACGGCCATTCCGTCATCAAGAAGGGCCTGTTACTGCAACTGATGGGCGGTGTCAGCAAAGTTACGCCGGAAGGCATGGCTCTCCGTGGTGACATCAACATCTGCATCGTTGGCGATCCCAGTACCTCCAAGTCGCAGTTTCTCAAGTACATCTGCAGTTTTCTGCCGCGGTCTGTCTACACCTCTGGTAAAGCATCTTCAGCTGCTGGTCTGACGGCCGCCGTGGTCAAGGACGAGGAAACTGGAGACTTTACCATTGAGGCTGGTGCTCTGATGCTGGCGGACAACGGCATCTGTGCGATTGATGAATTTGACAAGATGGACATCGTCGACCAGGTTGCCATTCACGAAGCCATGGAGCAGCAGACAATCTCGATTGCCAAAGCAGGTATTCAGGCTACGTTGAACGCACGTACGTCAATTCTTGCAGCGGCAAATCCAGTCGGCGGTCGTTACAACCGCAAGACCACCCTCCGTGCCAACGTCAACATGAGCGCCCCCATCATGTCCCGTTTTGACTTGTTCTTCGTCGTTCTTGACGAGTGTGAGGAGAGCGTCGACCGCCACCTTGCCGAACACATTGTCAACATCCACCGACTGCGCGACGACGCCGTCGAACCGGAATTCAGCACCGCCCAGCTGCAGCGCTACATCCGCTTCGCTCAGACCTTCAAGCCGGAATTCACCCCTGAGGCCAAGGATTGTCTCGTGGAAAAGTACAAGGAGCTCCGCGCCGACGACGCCCAGGGAGGCATCGGCCGCAACAGCTACCGCATCACCGTCCGTCAACTCGAAAGCATGATTCGTCTGTCCGAAGCCATTGCAAAGGCCAACTGCGTCGAAGAAGTTACGCCCGAGTTTGTGCGCGAAGCGTACAACCTGCTGCGGCAGAGCATCATATCTGTCGAAAAGGACGACATCGAGGTCGAAGACGACGAGCCGGCGGCGCAAGACGCGCAGCCGGGCGCCAACGCTGCCGACGAAGAAATGGCTGATGCGGGCGGCGAGAACGATGCCCCCGCTGCTCCTGCCGTACCTGATGAAGCCGTGCCGCCAGCTCAGCGAAAGATCACCATCACTTACGACAAGTACATGTCGATCCTCAACCTCATGGTGCAGCGCATCAACCAGGACGCGGCGACAGCCGAGGACGGCGTCGAGGAGAATGAGCTCCTTATCTGGTACCTCGAGCAAAAGGAGGCTGAGATTGAGACGCCGCAGGATATGGAAATTGAGAAGGTGTTGGCCAGGAAGGTCTTGAAACGCATGGTTCGGGTGAGTAACGGCAACACGGAGTCCCCTTATTATTTTCGAGGCAGAGCTAACTTTGTCTGCGCAGGAAAACATCCTCATGATGTTCGCCGGCGAGGGTCTTGCCGACGAGAACGGCCAAGGCTTGGTCAGCGATACCGTCATGTACGTCATGCATCCCAACTGCGCGATGGAGGAGATGTAAAGCACCCGTCTGTAAAAGAAGCGATGAGAAATAAAATGGGCAACAATGATGGGCTTTTTGGGTCTGGGCGACGACCCCGGCTCTTGGGGTTAATGGCGTTTGGAGCGCTCAGGGGTTGGGTGATACCAAGATATATTTATGACGGCACTGTTTCGCCAATCAATGAATGCCACTGCTGTGTTTCGACGGATTATTGCACTGATGAGATTGAATCAAGTGGAAGATTCCAATTCACCCGTGGACTGCTTGTAATGCTGAGTTGACGACACTTCATGAGCCCTCGCTCGAGTCCCAACCAGACAGACATCGAATGAGGGCTCCCTCCGCTGGCTGAAAGATGGTAATATCAAATGAGTTAGAATCGGTATACATCATGTCAAAATCAACGTGAGCCATTATTGTTGCTATTCTTCGTTGCAAACAATAGTAGGTAGACGCAGCCTTCGTGAGGAGGCGATGTCCGCAACCCCCCTGGACCTGTCGAAGCCTCCATATCTTGTTGAGACCTGCAAGAAGAAGTTCCCGAGCAAATTACGGCTGGAGAATTTGGCGTGACGCAGGCATTGGCCAGCAGTGGCAAGCTACTGATATCGCCGTTCAGGAAGCAAAGGAGGGGACTCTGCTTTGACGGCCTATAGAGTAGTTGGCTGGTGTATATTTCCCCGCATCGCCAAGATCTATTCAATAACGAGCAAATAGTCCATCGTGGTGCAGTGGTAGCACGCCAGACCATACACGTTGGTGCGCCGCATTGCTTACGAGCGTGCCGCGCTGGTCCCAGAGCCGTCGATGTCTCGTACATTGACCGAGCTCAGGGATAGGTGCGAGTAGTGCAGAACGGCATGTCAGTCTGGAGGCCCGAGTTCGACTCTCGGCGATGGAACAATTGAGTGTATCTCTTTTGCACTCTCAAGATATAAGAGAAGGAGAGACCTCACTTTTGGTGGCCAGCAGAAAGGTGAAGTGGCGTCTATGGGCCACGATCACCAAGCATTCAAGTCAGTAAATCCATCGTGGTGCAGTGGTAGCACGCCAGACAAAAGACCGCTTGCGCCGCATGTCTCACGAGGCATGCCGCACGACTGTTGTTTCTCCCGGTCTTTGACCTGTTGAGCTTACGCGGTGCGCGTAGCGCGCGAGGCACGGCAGTCTGGTACCCGAGTTCGACTCTCGGCGATGGAGAGTGTCTTTTGTTTTTTGTCGGATGGTGGTTGATGTCGTGGGTAGCTCTTGGTTTTTGCGGAAACCCGCTTCGAGGGGTGGATAGGGGGCTAGCCTCAGACTTTACTGATGCTCATTGAGCGATGGGGGAGGCGGTCCACCATCGGGGAGCACATATCGTCATGATAGGGAAAGTTGAGGGCGTATTTGCTTGATCGAGGCGAAAAGGAAAAGGTAACACGCCTTAAGAGTGATCCGGGGCCGTAGAGCTAGATGTGAATGGTTTGAATTCGAGAAAAGAAGTCAGGAAACTGTAAACAAGCCGTACCATACCGCTCACAATAACGCCACCAGCGCCCCCTCAAAACCAGGCACACCAGTCATCCAAGACTACAGCGAGCATCACTTTGATTTCATCCCCTGATCTCATCTTTGAGCGCATTTCCCTCTTCACCCAGATGTCCCAACAAGAAGCTGCGCTTGAAGTATTCGTTCGGATGGAGAATCGTGTCGAGTTGAGCGCCACTCCACGTGCCATCATCCTTGACCTTCTTAATCTCATTGCGATGCTTGTACTCAAACACGCGGTTGCACGCAATATGGTACCGCTGTCGCTTGACATCGTCGCGCACCTCGTTGAGCGTCTGCCTGTCATTGATGCCCGTGTGTTGGAGGAGGCCGATCAAGTTGTCTGGCGCAAATGTGCGGTAAGGGCAGCCATGAGTCTGCCCGGGCCCGGGCAACGCTTCCGTCATCAGCTTCTGGCACGAGTACGGCGTGTAACCGCCACCCCGCCGGTTCGCATCTCCACCTACGTCGCCGTAGGCGTGGCGCACATTGTAGCGGTACTCTTTGTTGAACTTCTCGTCGGTGATGAGCTTGAAGCTGCGTCGCCAGAAGATGAGACACTCTTCCAAGCTGAGACCTATTCCCTTAAGGAAGAGTGTGTACTGGAGTCGTCCAAAGTGTTTGAGGTGCGAGTTTTGCCGCAGCGTGCGGTGGAGGTGCTGCATGCAAAGAGGAAAGTGTTGACTCAGGGCGTCGACGGAGGCAGCAGTGGGAGTGGTGAGGCCATCAAGGGCAGTGTCGGAGGAGTATGCGGTCTCGGGGGCTGTAAAGCTTGTGCTCAAGTGCGAGAGAATCGGTGAAAGGCGGTCGTCTTCGTCGAGGCGAGGGAGGGCGCGGGCAGTAAGCTGGCACTGTTAGTTTGCTGTTGGCATTTAAGTTGGACATACGCACCTCCATTGCCGTCTCCAATCTTCTGCTGAATTCAGCCAGCACAAGACTGCTTTGCTCCCGCACGGGTACGTAAGCCTTGCCCCTCTTCAAGAGCACCTTTCTTTGTTCGACCAGTTCCGGGACCTTTTCCCAGTCCACCTTGAACCAGCCGTCTTCCTCTCCTTTGCTTTTGCCCCATGGTGTTGCAGCTCTGAGCTCCTCGCCAAACGACTTCCTCTCCTCTTCGGTCACCTTTTCCCACTCACTGCCCATGTCCAAAGAGTCCACAAAGTCTCTACGCTCACGGGTGTCGTCCTCATTCCATCTTAGACGAAACAGTGCGGTTTCCAGGCGGACAAACCGGCGGCGGAGGTCTTCGGTCGCAGAAAATGCCAGGCGCAGGATGAAATGTGAATAATGGTCCTTCTTCCTTTGCGCGTCTAGCTGAGTCGAGCGGCTGCTGTTTGACTGTAGTGGGAGATGTTTTTCAAGGATGGGCTTCATGTAGGATGTTGTCTCTTCGGGACCACGGTTACGAAACGAACAGGCTTCGAGTTCCGACAAGACTGCACACTTGTTAGTGGCCTTCTTAGGACGGAGCGCTTCGTAATAATCTGTCCTTCCAGGACAGAGCCGCCAGACTCAATTCACTGACCCTTGAGACGCGCGATTGCCCATTCTTCAAACTCTTCGAGTGTGATCTCGGCCGTGGGTGGTATAGTGTAAAAGTTGAGGCGGTGCTTGTATTCTTGGTCCCTCCATTTGGGAGCCGCAAACTGGCGTTTCTTGTAGTCGAGGTCGGTCCGGCGCTTGGCGTCGATGCGAGCGATAGATGAACGCTGCATTGTCTCAAGAGCTAGGTCAATTACTCGAAGGTCTCGACTTCGTTGGCGCGGGAATAGGGTTGGGTGTGTAGGTAGGAGCAGAAGTGGTTGACGCGAGACGCGTCGCTCGGTGCATGCACCGCGTCTTTGCCGACGCGCTAAATGAATCCCTGTCCGAGGCAGCCAGCCAATTCGGTCGAACCTATTGATGCATCTCCTTCCACCATACTCTAGCCCGCTACTCTTTATGCGTGGTCTAAATACACAAATCTATCCTCCTCTATGATGCGCTGTACGTCTATCCCAGCAAGTCGCCCAACTTGTCCGCATAGAAAGCCGGCTTGACTCCAGTCCCATCTCCCTCGCCCAAAAAGTCCTCCTTCTTGTTCACGCCACTCAGCACAGCCAGAGTTCCGCCCAGCTGGCCTTCGATGCCAAAGCGAATGTCGGTGTTGAGACGGTCGCCAATCATGCATGTCCTGCTGCGATCGAATTTGAATTTGCCCTCAACCGCGTCCATCATAGCCTGGCTTGGCTTTCCAAGAGCCAACGGCGATTTCCCCGAGGCTGTCACCAAAGGTGCTTCAATGGACCCAGCCCCCGGGAACAAGGTGTGCGCCATGGGGAGTGTAGAGTCGGTGTTTGTTGCCAAAAACGTGGCTCCCCTCTTCAAGTATCCAAAGGCGTGCGCCAACTTCAAATAGTTGACGTGAAAGTCGAGACCGGCGAGGACGATCCCAACATCGGGATCGAGAGCAGAGCCATCGGCAATGTTGGTGAAGTCCTCAGGCTCAATATCGCGGCGGAGGGAGGCATCTGTGCCGCCGATGAAGGGCACGTTTTCGGCACGGAGTTCCTCCTCGATGCCAGACTCCCCCAACACAAAGACCTTGTTCTTGGGAGCCGGAAGCTTGAGGATTCGCGCAATGTACACCGCAGCGCTATACGCGGAGCCAAAGACCTCGTCCTAACTCATGTCAGCGGCCTGAAATACATGCGTTGCTAGAATCCATTGGTGTGCCGTTTTCTGAGACACGTACCACCGTCACAGGCACGCCGAGTTTGTCAAACTTCTTCTTGTAGTCTGCGCGGCTCTTTGTGCTATTGTTCGTCACAAACACAAGTTGTTTCCCTGCAGAGTGGTCGTTAGCAGGTCAGACACTAAGCAAGCATACCTTTCCCGACGCTCACCTTTGCTGCGAAGCATTTCCAGAGTTTCTGCGGTTCGAGGAAAGATGTGATCACCAGACCATAGCACACCTATCCTTCATGCGATTAGTCCCGAAGTCCGAGGTGCTCCTAGCCATGTCGGCTTTCAAAACCACTCTGCGCAGGCGCGTTGCCTTGGCTGCCATATTTCGGCGCGCGGGACTGGGTCGAGGGAATGCGCGTACCGTCACAGTCGAACAGGAAGGTCTGGGTGAAGTCTTTTAGTTCATGGTTCTTGGTGTCAGGATGGTTTGAGAAGAAATGTGTGACGCACATCAAACTTGGCAAGGAATTCCTCGATGGCCGGCTGGTCGCCGGACAAATATCTTGGCTCCCCCATTGCGACGGATGTTGATTCTCAAATCGAGCGTGTTGAGGTGTAGAGTGGAAAGATGTCAGGCTAAACTGCCCGAGGACTTTACAGTCCGCCGACGGGGGCAGATCCCTGGTGGGGCCCGCTGACGTGATGAGTCCGATCGGAGCTCAGCGCCGCGGGGTTCAACAATCCACCGCTGCAGACCTGGTACCTGGGATTTATTCGAACACACCACGCAAGCGCACGTTGATGGGAACGGAGACCTTCAATTGGTTCTTGTTCATTCGCTACTCGAGTTGGCTTCCTCTGTTGAGTCTGTTTCTGGCCCCGAGGCCCTCGCCTGTCCCTGTCCATCGTAGCTTGTTTTGCGAAAAATTCCAACAAATCCTCCAATGTTGCTTGTTGTCAGTTTCGGTCTGCAAACGACCCTCCACTTCTCACTGGTGGCAGACTCGATGGACAGTCCTTCTAGGCTGTCTGGCGCAGGTTCTGCTTCAACCGAGGGCGCTTCTGGATTCTGCTGCTCCGTTTTGGCCTCTGCCTCATCAACATCATCGTTCCATTCGTTTGCCTTTGCCAGCTGTTTCTGGAACGATACATTATCGGCCGCGGCGGCTGATGTTGTTTTGGCAGTCTTCGTCTCTTTCAGGAGTTTGATTTCCCATGGTCTCGCGGTCTGACCGCCCCTCAATTCGGCCACATGTTCCAGGGCCAAAGGCAGGCGCGATTCTTTGATCGCTTTCAAACAGTCAGCAATTTGCGTTATGCTGGGGTTAAACACTGCAAGAATGCCATCGACCTGGAGAGCACGAGCAACAGAAGGAAGATGATCTTCTGAGGCTGGGAGATCGAGGAAGACACGCGACAAGAATGGCTCAGGCTCATCTGCGCTTGAGTCGGACGACTGTGGTTTAGACATGGACTCCAGGCGCCTCTCAATCCACTGCGTTACGTCGCCCAAGTGAAAGTCGACGTGACGGGCATAAAGGCCGTGTCGAAAGTGTTTCACGATTTGGCGGGCATGCACCATGTTGCGGCGCTTTGCCTCGACCGTGTGGACGACGGCACGTCGCTTTCCCTTCCACGCTTCGAAGGTATCTTCGTTCGAAATTTCAGCGAGAGGTGAGTCGTATGTCGCATCTTCGGACGGATCTTCAGCGTCTGGCGAGGGCTGGATCGCTTCCGGGGCTTTGGGTAGTGGAGGGTTCGCAGCATGTATAGCCCTAGCAAGGTGTAGAGTCACTCCACCATGACCAGTACCAGCTTCCAAAACCTCCAGTGGAGAAGTGGAAGCATTCTCTTGGCTGGGTGGGTCGACGTGTATGTCCATCAACCCCACAATCACATTGGCGTCATCGTGGTAGATCTGGACAGGGCCGGGTCAGCGCGACCGCGGAGAGATGGACATGGCGTGCAGTGAACGACGAACAGGAGTGGCAATCCGCGGGCTCAGG